AGCCTGATCAGGGCCCAGGGGTTTTGGGCACTGTTGGCTCATGGCACTTTATGACTTGCAGCTCTCAGATCCTTTGCAGCTCTGAGCAACCAGCACACAATAGTATGAGATACTGGGCTCATACTGTGCAGCCCCTTCTGGCTCATTTATTTTGCACTGGACCCTGCCATCTAAATACCTTTTTGGTTGTGTTTCTTTTTGTTTTTCATAGGCATTTCAGTCCCTCTTTCATTGCTGCCTTTGTGCTACTTCAAGCCCTGAAAGGTCAGGCCATGACTCAGCTCCGTACACTGAATGAACTTAGGGAAAGAAAATCAACACAATAACTTTTCTAAGCCATATACTTCCTATCCATGTTTTCCAGAATAATTTATTGGCAGCCATGTCACGTTCTGAGAGTGCACAAGGGCACGGTGAGGGTGTTCAAACGTGTTGGGGTGGGGCTTTCATGGAAGGCTTTTTTGTAACAGAACACAAAAGTTGTGGCGGTTTTTTTAAAAGTGTTTTTGCACATGTGTAGCTGAGGGAGAACTGTGTGTGTCCAAACCTTGAGTGCAATCACCGTTTTCCAGGTTGTTTGGGGAGGGAGGGAGGGCAGGAATATCTGTAGTTATAGATATTTGAAGGCAGCCAGCTGAGAGTTTACAAAACACTTCGCGTAGCATGAACGAACACGGGAATTTCAGCTCAGGCCGTGACTTTTGGCCGTGACCAGTGACCTGGGGTGGCCACTTTGAGCTGCCAAGGAAGGGCCTGATTTTGGGTGCCCAGCCCCAATCAGGTGCCTTTGAAGGGTCTCAGATGGGACACCCAGGGGTGGCTTTTCACCTGCGAAAACTCACGGCCTCTCTCCGCAACTTCCGATGTAACTGAACACAAATGGTTTGGTTGTTGGTTTGTTTTTTGTTGTTTTTTTTTTTTTCTAAATTTTATTGTATTATTGCAATAAATCTTTAACAGTAAATTTTTTTTTTTTTTAAAGTTGTATATTTATAACTGTTACCTCTGTGTGGTCTGTTTTTCACCATGCTGGGCGAAAGTACACAAGAATTTCCAGCCTTCAAAGCATCACAGGGACCAGACCTGTTACAGTGCAATCAGTCGTACAGCGGTGGAATAAGCAATACCCCTTCTAAAAAAATACTCTTACATAAAATAACTGCATCTCCAGGGGAGCAGGAGGTGGGTTCCTGCACAACACACACACACACACACACACATCCCTCTATGTACATGTAAACGGGTGAATCTCTTGTGAGCCTGGCTCGGGGCTGCTCGTGTGCTGGGTGACATTTGTTTCTGCAGGTGCTGAATTCCTGCTGCGTGCAAAGGGGGATGCTCCTCCTTACAAGGTCATTTCAGGATGCAAGATGTGGCTTTTTACAGATGTTAATTGTTAAAGTGAGGCAGGGAGTGTCTGAGCAACAGGGATGGGAAAGGGGTGAGCAGGCTCTGCCCTGGGGACGTGGTGGCCTGGCAGGCCATGGGTTTCAGGCTGCTGAATGATGGAGGAAAACCAACCCCTCCCACTCGATTTTTGGTGATGTATCTGATGGGAAGGACTGATGGCCTGTGATTCCTGGCTGCTGCACACTCAGGAGTGGGAGCAGCAGCCACGTGGGGTTCCTGCACGCAGAGCTGGGGGCAGGTTGTTGCCCCAGTGACAGCACAGTCAGTCCTGGCCAAGGGCAAAGCAAGCCTGGCTTTGAGCTCAGCTCATGCCTATGGGATGTTCAGGTCAGCTCTGCTTAAGCAGGGCCAGCAGCAGGAGGTTCTGTCCTCTGCCCACATTGGTTTGTGGCAGGAGAGCAGCCTGACAATGCCCTGAGTCCTGTCCCTACTCCAGGGTTGCCTGGACCAGCCAAAGGCAGGCTGGGAAGAGAAACAGCCCAGGGTGAGGCTTCAGCACCATTCCCACTCTGCGAGAAGTGGGACTCGAGACAGAGGTTGGATGTTTCAGTGCAGTTTTGTGCAGGTGTGAAATCCCAAAATGGTTTGGGTTGGAAGAGACCTTAAAGCCCATCTCATTCCAACCCCCTGCCATGGGCAGGGACACCTTCCACTAGACCAGCTTGCTCCAAGCCCCGTCCAACCTGGCCTTGGACACATCCAGGGATGGGGCAGCCACAGCTGGGCAGGGCCCCCTTCCACTAGACCAGCTTGCTCCAAGCCCCGTCCAACCTGGCCTTGGACACATCCAGCTTCTCTGGGCAACCTGTGCCAGGGCCTCACCACCCTCACAGCCAAGAATTTCTTCCTAATATCCCGTCTAATCCTGTCCTGTCAGTTTGAAGCCATTCCCCCTTGTCCTGTCACTCCAGGCCCTTGTCCAAAGTCCCTCTCCGGCTCTCCTGGAGCCCCTTTATGCACTGGAAGGGGCTCTAAGGTCTCCCTGGAGCCTTCTCCAGGTGAACACCCCCAGCTCTCCCACCCTCTCTCCATAACAGTGCTCCAGCCCTTAGAGCATCTCCATGGCCCTAATGACAGTTCCAGGGGCTGCCATAGGGGCAGAAACTGCAGGAAGTGACCTGAGCTCCACTGCAGCATCTCAGCACCTCATCCCAGGGAGCAGAGACACAGCAAAGGGAAAAGCTGCTGCAGGAACAGCCAGGATGGAGCAAGAGCCCAAACACAAGCCTCAGTCATGGGCAGCTTTTTCTGTGGTGTCCATGCCAGGAGAGTCCCAGAGCTTGATGAAAACTGGAAGCTCACAGACAATGGAAATGTTATTACAACTTCTTCGCTGGCATATCTGGAAATTCAGTCCAGACACTCCAACTGCTCCCAGGCAGGGAAGTCAAGCACATGGTGCAGTCCTTCATCCTCAGTTCCAAACACTGGATTTTGTAAATCCAACACTGGATTGTTGTTTTAATTGACTCGTAGGAAACAAAAAAGTTCACTGGACCTTGGTTTCTCCCTGAACCATCCGTTAAGGAAACAGAAATCTGCACTTCACTACTTTTTAGGAAAGAAAAAGCCTGCAGGCAGCTCAGCATGGCAACACTCAGAACCAACCCACATCTGGATGCAAAAGCCTGTTCTGCAAAACAATTTTTAACAGCAATGCTGTGCAACAGGGACAGTTCCAGCAAACAATGTAATAAATGATGTATAAACCAGCCCACGCTCCCTGGCCACCTCAGGGGGAGGGCAGGGATGGGGCAGGGTAGATAACAAGTTGTCCTCCAGATTTACCTGTTCCAAGGAACAAAATAGCCTAATGATATTATTTTATCCTTGTTTTTCCCCTTGTTCAACAAAGGTGACCAAGATCTCACACTCTGTTCCAAAAAAAATGACCTCACTGGCCCCTTATCTAATTACAAAATATTTTCCTCTGCCGCTCCGTTCCAGCCTTGCAGGGACTTTCCTCGCTGCTGCTCAGCCTCAAGTTTTCCAGAGTCTTGGGTGGGGGGCAGGAAAGCAGCTTCTTTCCCCTTTCCCTTAATCAAAATCAAGCTGGAGGCCTTTGATGCCGATGCCTTTGGCCAAACAACAGCCTGGCAGTTGCTTTGCTGCTCATCCGGAGGGAGCAGATGGAAGTTTGGGTGAAGCCTGCGCCCCGTTATGGGATGAAGTCACGGATTAACCAGGGATCCTGCTTTTCCTCTCCCTCTTCCCAGCCGATTACAAGGAGGGCCGCACCCTCCTCTTAGATTCCTGGTCTCATTCCTCGTGGTTGTCATCATGTCTGCAGCGCAGGGAGGCTGAGCAGCCAGGGAGGGGTGTCTGATGCCCGGGGTGGCAGGAGCAGGTAAAGGCAAAAAATAAACCCAGCACATCCTTTAAATCTCTCCCTGAGCTCATCAAACCCATACTTCATCAGGCTACAAGGGCTCCATTTTCCTTCTCTCACAGTTAAGGGAAAGAATAAAAGCATCCACCTTCAAACCCTCTCTGTCCTCGCTCCGGAACCAGGGGGGTCACTCCATGTGATCCCAGTGCAGGTGAAGTGGAGGGAGGTGGGAAGCTCAGCCTGGCCCCCACAGCCAGCAGTTTTCCACACCTTGCCAACAGGATGAGCCAGGGGCAGGGCCACCTTATCCAGAACTCCTGCCCTTTCCAGGTGCCCCCTGGGGTTTGCAGGGCAGAGGAAGGCCTGGGATGAGCCCCGTAGGAAGGTGGCACTGGCTCTTCTTGCACCAGGTCAGAGATTCTGGCTGCTCCAGCTGGAATGGTCCAGGAGTCCATCCATGCCTTGAGAAGGGGCAGAGAAACAGCACCAAGTGTGGGGAGAGAAGGGACTTGGACAGTGCAAAGGCACAGCTGCCACACTCTGTTTGGCTCCCTGGAAAAAGGGCTGCTGCTCCTCTCAGCTCCCAGGAGCTGAACGTAGCTGCTGGATTGTCCAGGGTCCATTCCCAGATTTCCAAGCCACTCACCCTCAGAGGGGTGTAACTGGAGTCTGGATCACAGCATTGCAGGAGAGGAATGCATTCAGGGAAATACTGCAACAGATGCCATGCTCTGCTCCCACTCCCAGTTTGAGCAATCACTGTTCACCCAACACAAACCGTCACCATTCCCCTGGAAAGCACCGACTCACACCCAAGGAATGAGATGCCAGAGGCTGCAGCAGAGCAGGGCAAAGCACTGCAAGCATTTCTGGTGAAAGGGACAAATTCCACATAGAGCAGACGGCAAAGCTTCCAGCACATCACAGAGCCAAGGCAACTCCACATCCATCCTACCGGACCCATAGTCTGTCCTGGAGCTTCCAGGGAACAAGGCAGGTGCCCACACAAGAGCCAAGAAGCAGGATGACCAGAAAGTCCCTGTTTTTTGCAAGCTTTACACACCTAGCACCAGAATTCCCGACAACAGGAGCCTCTGCTGCACGCAGGGCTGACAGGAAGGAAAAGCTGGAATCTGTGAATGTTACAGCAGGGAATAGAGATTGGGGGGGGTGGTTTTTTTTGTTCCTTTGTTAGTAGGACAGGTTTGCCAGAGGAAGCTCACTGCACGTCTGAACTACAGCACAGCACCAAGTTTCTGCCACGTGTTTTACAGCATTTTTATTTCGGGGCAAAAGTCTTACAAGAGAAAGTCCGGTAAGGCAGATCTAGAATGCACGTTTTATTCATGTAAAAAAAAAAAAAAACCAAAAAAAAAAACCCAAAAAAACCAAACCAGACAACATGGGTAAGGTAGACAAGAATATTTTTGTTTTATATTCTGACTATACAATAATATTCATCTCTTTTTTTTTTTTGTTTTTAAATCCACTGCCACGCTACTATAATGGGTCTGTTCTATAGTCTAAGTTTCAGGTTGTCCAGTTAAGTTGTCTGCAGCTTCTTTAAACAAGTTGACCTTTACCTATTTAGAGTTTCTTCTCAGAAACATTCATATATTATGCGGAATATACAGATTTTGAAACAAGACACTTAAAAACACACACACCTATAGCCGCAACACTGGGATAGCTGCATTGTAGGGGGTTACCTTGTTCAGCCAGCTGTAGACTCTGTATGTACAATTAGGGGTTTTTTTATAGTGTTATTTACAGAGATGGACTAAAAGCTCTCTTTAATCTAAAAGGTAAAGGCTCTTGTGTTTGAGTATGTGCAGTTTCATAGCCCTGTGGAAAACAAAACAAAACAAAACAAAAAAAAAAATAACCACGACAATTATATACACTGTAAACAGCACAAGGCATGAGAATCTCCTCCTACCCCAAACAATCTCGCAGGAAAAGTGTATGTGCACTAATATTCCTCTTCCACTTCGGCTCCCGCCCCTCTGGTCTTCTTGTGGATGGCGCGGTTAAAGCTGTGGCAGGCGGGGACCCAGTGATTGTCGTGGAGACCCAACTTACAGCCCGGGATGCCCTTCTGGGACCGGTGGCAGCACATCCAGTAGCCAGGCCCGTAGGGCAGGGCCTGGCAGTAGGGTTTGGGGTGCCACCGGCACAGCGACACGTCCCCCTTCACGTACTTCTTCTTGCACTGCTTGCAGGGGTCCTCCCGGTACCGGGGGTCCCGGACCCAGCGCGAGTCCGCCGGCCGGATGTTGTAGTACTCGATGATGAACTTGAAGTAGTAGCAAGTGCATTTCAGGGCCACCAGGCTCCTGGTAGGGAGCAACCCAAAGATCTTCACTATGATGTGGTGAGGCAGGAAGGCCATATACTGCTGAGGCTCCAGAAGCTGCTGGATTTTAAACCTGGTCTCCAGAAAGTCATGCGAAACCTGCCTTTTCAGGCAGGAAGCGTCAAGTACTTGCAAGGCCCCTTCTGTGGGAGGGACAGAGGGGGCCGATGGCTCTGTAGGGACACTGCTCCTGACACACAACCCGCCGGATGCCAAAGCATCCTCATCCTCATTCTGGGCTACTTCTCCTGGCTTCTCTTGGGTACTTTCCCGTGGTGGCTGTTGCTCGTGAGCAGCAGGCTGGTCGTCCTGGAGGAAAAACAGCCTCCCCGGGAGCGAATCCTCACTAGAACTGGAGCTGGAGAGCTTCTCTTTCCTGCACCCTTTCTCGGTCTTGGTGACGGATATACTGATGCACAAGGGCTCCTTCCTCGCAGGATGCAGGCTCTGCTTTGGGAAAATCACAGGCTCCTTCGACGTACAATCAACGGTCGCGTTTTTGCTCTGCAAGGGATCCGGTGGCAGCCTGGCAGCAGGAGCTGGACACGAGGACAGCAGAGCTCTGGGAGGCTCAATCCGTGTCTCAGTGTCGCTCCTGGCGGCTGCCATCGCCAGCACCGCGTGAGCAAGTCCCGAATTCACATTCCCCATCCGGGTATCCAGCCCCGAAGGAAAAGGCCGCCGAGCAGAGGCGCCGCCATCCCACAACTCGGCGTCACCCAGAGCACCACAACGACCTCCGTATCCAGCCTTCTGCCACCCCGCCCCCCAAGCCATCCCCCTGAGCCAGAACCCCGGCACCCCTTCCCCGCCTCTCCCTCGGGCTGGGTGCCGCTTGGCCAGGAGCCACCCTCCCGACGTTTCTGCGGAAGCTGTTTGTTCCGGAGAGGCTCCCGGCCTCCCGCTCGCTCTGGCGCCTCAGGCACTCCGACTCCAGCTTGGCCACCATGTCCAGCACGCGCACGGGCTCGCCCTGCTGCTCCGCGTGCACCTCGCACGCCCCGGCCGAGGAAAAGGGGTCGGAGCTGGGAAGGGCCCCCTTGGGCTGAGCGCTCGGCCTCGTGGCAGGGGCGGCCGTGCAGGTTTTAGCACAATCCACCAGCAAAGCACTCGCCCGCTGCTCCAGGAAAGCCACCATCTCTATCACCGAGAGGGACCGGCCCGGGAACGCTCCCTCTCCGCTGTCATTCCCGTAGTGCACCGAGCAGTGCTCGATGCCACAGGCAAAAGGCTCCGGCTGGGAGCACCTGGCATTGGCCTCCCTCATCCTTTCCAGTTGGATTTTGGCTTTTTTGAGGTCCACCGATTTTTTCCTGCGCTTGGCCGTCCTCCCGTCGATGTCCCACGTGCTCTTGATTTTCATGGAGCCCACCCTGCTGGTGCTGCTGCACTGCTGGGCCGCGAAGAACGCGATCTTCTCCTTCGTGTTGCCAGGTTTCACCACGGCCCAGACATCCAGAGGCCCTTCCCCTTCCTCTCCCTGGTGGATCGTTGCAGACAGGGCGTTCTTCTTTTCCCTTGCACTTGGACCATCCGCTGGACCTTTCCCGTTCATATTGCACATAGTATTTGGATAAATAATCCCCAGAAGCTTTTGAGATGGAGTCACGAGGGAGGGTTTTGGGAAAACGCTCAGTTTGGTGCAGGTGGTGTATTTTTCTCCTTGTGCTGATCCCTGGTGGCCTCGCAGGGAATCCTGGCTTATTTCTGGGGATCGCTCTTTCTTCTGTAACTTGAGATATGGCTTTAAGTGCATACCAGAGACCCTGGAAAAACAGAGAGGGGAGAAGTTATAGTTGCAAAATATGTCTGTCTGGAATTAGAGAAGGTGGCCCGGGGTAGGCAGCATCCCACACCTCAAGAAGAACCACATGAGAAAGGAAAACACAGCAACCAAATCTCCAACATCCACCCTTGGAAAACTTCCTGCAGTAGAAGAGAACTTCCCATTAGATAAATCTGTTGCAAGGAGAAATCCTGGAGTTTATCAGTTGTGAAAACATAGCCAGTGGTTCATTCTAGAGTTAGAGGCATCCTTCTGCCCATTCATTCCTTAATCCAGTTAGTTGTAAGGTACACGTGGGTCATGGAGTCTGTCTCCTGAAAAGAGTATATTTGATAGTGGATGTCCAGATAAAGTACAGTTAAAGCTGAAAAGAGAAATTAGCAAGTGTAATTACATTCACCAGAGACCCCAGTGGGTATCTAAATTCCTAATACCACCCAAAGTCACCGAATGGCTTGAGTTGGACCTTAAAAACCACCTCGTTTCACCCCCCTGCCATGGGCAGGGAGACCTTCCACCATCCCAGGTTGCTCCAAGCCCTGTCCAACCTGGCCTTGAACACTTCCAGGGATGGGGCAGCCACAGCTTCCCTGGGCAATGAAACTTACCCTTTAGAATATTGATAATGGCAAATTTGGTGACTTTCTCATAAGGGTCCTTACATTATACATCAGATACCCCCCCAAAAGCGAGAGAAGCATCACGTACAGCTGAAGAGACCCACTCTCAAGGACATGTTTTCATGGTTAGGAATTTAAGAGCTGTGAAGGACCACTTGGATGCTGCTGACACTGCAGCAGCAGCATTCCTGCAGCACTCAACTCCTCCGTTCTGTCACACCCTCACAGTCACCCTCCATTCAAAGCTCAGAGCCCGGGGCGCTGCCACACAGGGTGCAATCATCAGGAGACTCCAGGCTCTTCTCCCAGGAGTATCACAGAAGCACATTACAGAACTAACTATAAATTATGTTTCCATGGTAATCTTTGAATTGTTACACTCAAAGGCCTCCACTTTGAAATGGGGATAATCTGTGCTTGCTAGCTGAGGAGCAGCAGGTTCAATGCCACATCCATCAGGAGCCGATACGGACACATTCAGGCACTGAACACGTTTCCCCGGAGAGCTACCACCAAGACAGTTGCTTAAGCACTGCATTTGTAGCCTAAAAACAGCTTTTAATTAAAAACCTTAAGGCACAACATCTACAAAGTCTGACAAATTTACAGCTGATGCTGCCCAAGCAGAGGAAGCCTCCAGCACCAGGAGCAGCCATGCTGCTTAACCATTGCTTTCCCTGGATATTTCCCTCGGGCCCTAGTGATAAGAAGTGAGGGGCAGGCATAGGGGCTTGGGGGAGGTATATCAAGAGGAAGGGCTTAGTTCACCTTTCTGTGCCCCTTTGCTCCACGCAGTGCGTTGAAGGCCAGGAAGCAGACCCTGGAAAGGATGATGCTATCCTACGTTCTTTCCCTCTGGATTTTATAGGGAAACCATCACCTCATTCTTGCAACCAGACAGCGCCAAAACCATCTGCATCTCACCTACAGACTGTGGGGGTACGAGATCTCAGTGCTGCAGATACACCTACCCAGTTCCTGGGTTAATTCTCTCCCTGTGCCTCCTGCCTGCTAATTCCAGCTCGTTGGAATTGGGTCACCTCCCAGTTTAGTCTCCTCTGCAAAACGCGACTGAGCTATTTTGTTTGCCTCTCCAGTTGGATGCTAAAAGCTGAAATAATCCCACAAAAATAGAACTTCAGGGTGCTGAAACAGATGCATGAAGAGAACATGGGAGATCAAGGGTGCTGGAGTTTGCTCTGGCCTCATTTTCCACAGGGTCTGGCTCATTTTGTCTGCACTTCAGCGAAGCAGGGTCAGGCCCCCGATGCGCCCCGGCCAAAGCCCGGCCCAGAGGAGCAGCAGGTGAAGCACTGCAGCAAACTGCTGCAGGGAACAGTGCCTGCAGCCCTCCCTTCCCTTCCAGAAGGACATTCTGGAGCTGTGCTTCCCAGATTAGAGAGAGAGAAAAAGCTCCGGTGGCCGCCCGCCACCGTACCCTGGGGAGAAGAGGTGAATGCAATTAAATACAAGATTTGCATGCTGAAGTCTCCTGAGCCAGGAGCAGAAGATCAAATTTCATTCATGAGTTTTCATGCCAAGGTGTTTGAAAAATGAGCTGAGTTTGTTCATAAAAGGCTTTCTTCAAGCAGTTTTCAGGAATCCGGGAGGACAATTGGCTCAACACCCTTTATTAAGAGAAGCTGCAAATGAAGGTGAGACCAGGTATTATAAGAATGAAAACAGGACCAAACTGGTTACCCCAACAGGCTCAGGGGACACGTTTAGCCAGCAAAGTTGGTTCAGCTGCTCCCAGCTATTTCTGGTCTATGGAGAAAGACAAAGGGTAGAGCTCTGCCTCACCTATCACAGATTTCTTGTTTAAGGTTATATTTCCTCCTGTGTTTCAGTTAGTCCCTGGCTCAGCCAACAATACCATTTAAGGTTGAAAAGTTATAATTTACATAACAAAATTATGCCTTACTCAGAAGTTTTACTGCCAGAATAATTGCCTCATTTGAATTCAGCACCCAGTTCATTGCACATGTTCTAATGGATCTGGATTTAAAGAAAATCTTCATCTAATAACTTCAGACAGCTATAAAAGAACACTGCAAACTCCACCTGACCAGCTGTCACCTGCCTCGCAGTTTTCCAGCAGCAGGGAAGAGAACTTCCATTTTAAAAGGGATCTTAGTAATGGACCTTACCTGAAAGTGTCATTTGGAAAAAAACGAGCCTCCACCTTTGCTGTGGATATTAAGAATGAACTTTTAGGTAAACACAGCTTCTTCCCTGCACGTCAGCAGCACATTTCATCTCTAGCTCCTAGAATTAGAACAAGCCTTCCCAGCAGAAATTGCTTTGAAGATGAACCAGAGCCCAGTCCCCACCCACAGACTCCCCTATTTCTGCAACATCTCAGTGCTGGCAAGTGGAGAACTGTGGCAGCTGCAGGTAAAGCTTTTAAATATTTAAAACCACCAAAAATAGTTGCTAAAAGGTGAAGTCACTGACAATTCCCTATGAAACTTAATTCCAGAATAATTCTGTTTGCTTTCCTCCACCCTTTAAGTTATCAAGCTTTCTAATTTTATCTTTAGAGACAATGACTCTTCAGAAGTCCACAGAGCACACATAAAAAGGTTTTCAATCCCAAACGTGTGGTTTTAAATTGCTGATAAGAGAGAATTCTGCCAGGAATGATCAGCACTGAAACAACGAGCAGTGCTGCCTTCATGCTGTTATTCCATCCTTAAGCTGATGAAATAAAGGGGCCAGGTTTTTTTATTTCTAATCAGCCCTGTCTGAAAAACAGGATACTTGCACTGCTGGAATGACACTGCTGTTTTCCTAAGTCATAACTACAGCTTGTTTCCACTGTAGTTTTATCAAGTTAGTTACTCCACATTGTTGATACAGAAATATATTCCTTTATATGAGCACAAACACACACACAGCCCTCTCCTCTTCCCACTGAAGACCCACTTGTGGACTCCCCATCCCTGGAAGTGTCCAAGGCCAGGCTGGCTAGGGCTTGGAGCACCCTGGTCTAGTGGAACATGTCCCTGCCCATGGCAGAAGGGTTGGAATGAGATGGTCTTTGAGGTCTCTTCCAAGCCAAATCATTCCATGATTCTTACTTGCCAAGCTGGCCAGAATCTTCCTGCATCCTTTTGTACTTATATATGTCCTAAATCACAGCAGCCTAAAAAAATAATACATTTGCTTTAGTGGAAACTCCAAAGTTGGAGGGAAAACTGGTAAAAAAAGGCTCAGTTTTTACAACTCCTTTGTGAGGTCCACAGAGAACCTTAATGCCTCTCACTGTCAGGGACTCTCATGATGCCCTTGTGAAGCCGAAAGATTTCCTCTGGCCAGCAAGAACAACAACAACAACAACAACAACAACAACAACAACAAAAAGTACAATATTTCCAAACAGAATATTTACACTGCAAGTTTTCTGGGCAAAGCACCGGAAGGTTTTGTTAAGGAGAAAATTTCCATCAAAACCCCCAAGTTTCCTGTGGATTTCTTCTTGTAAACACACCAACTGCAGTCGACAAAAGTTTCTCGTGTTGCTGACTGCGCACCCAGTGCCAGCTACAACTCTGAAAAAACCCTCAGGACACACTAACAGAAGGCAGAAGAAGCCAGAAAAAAAAATAATAAAAAAGGAGTAAAAAAAAAAAAATCAACTACAATAAAAACCCACACCAAGCATAACCTCTGGCAAGGCTTTTCTCCTCCCTGGCATGCCAGCTCTCTGTCCACAGGGCTCAGCTCCTCTGTAAAGGACACTGACAATTAGCAAGGACTGAGCACTGAATGTGAGTTAACTATGGTCAACCACTTGTTATTTCTGGAAGGGCTTGGTGGGTCCTTTGGGCTCAATCTCCAGTACCATTTCCATCCCCTTTGCACTGCCAGGGCAAGGCAGAGCAGACAGAGAGCTGCTTCAAAGGCATTCCACGGATTCTGCCGGGGCGGGAAAGTCCCGGCTGAGCAGCCGGGATGGAAGAGGCTCTGCTGCTCACTGGAGCTTGTTCTGGCACGTGGCAAGTGTCCAAGCTCGGGGAAGGGCGGGTTGGGAAGCACGACGCTCCGGAGCTGGGGCGGGTTCGACACCGGCAGCTGTGGAGGCATCTGATTTCTAGAAAACCCACTCCCTTGGAGCAGCAGCTGCTCCAGACCCACCTCCCAGCGCCTGCAAAACGCCTCTTGCATCTCTCAGAGAGCCAGCAAGGATTCTTATGGGATTTGAAGGCAAACAGAAGGTATCTGGCTGCTGAGGGAGAGCTCTCTGTCCAAGTGGCCAGCCTAGGGGAAGGGGGAGCAAGCCAAAAACGTGGGGCAGAGCTGGCCCAAAAGAGCTGAGGAACTGAATGCAAAGCAAACACCTAACACTGAGTGTTCACCCCATCAGGTGTTCAAATAACCTGACTCTGGGGGAGACAGCACCCAAATGTAGCTGCACACAGGCATGAAGTCCATCATCCTCACCACACAGAGGTTTCAGGTGACACAACACACACCCAAGCCCAACACACACCACTCCAGTTCGAGGGCTCCCACCCATTAATGTTCTGGACACATTTTATACTAAACACCCACACACTCTTCAACGTAAAGCACAGTCAACTTGGCTACTTTCTAAATTTTATACAGGAAGAAGTGACACTGCTTTGCCAGGCTTTTGTATAAAAGCACTCACCGTGAAGCGAGTGACGTAGAAGCGGTTCTTTGTTGAGCCTCAGGAACCTCAAACCCCTGCTCCCTGCTTCCCAACCACACTGGAGATGACACAGGGATGACATAAAGCAGAAGGGAACAAAATGAACTGACAGATTTGGTGTTCAAGGTTATAAGCTGCTCCAGAAACGTGTAGCTCAAAGACAACCACGTGCCTGTGGTGGAACAGGCTGAGATGAGAAGAAATCACAGAAGGACAGTAAGAAAAACAGTGGTGGTTTTATAGATCTTCTGCTTAAAACTGCCCAGAGCAGCACAGATACGTGATATGCTTCCTTCTGGAAGTCTTTTACCTCTCTTACTTTAACATTTGTTTTCTGATTTGTTAACAGCAACAGGACCAAGACCTTTCTTCACATCATAGCACAACATGTATTTCTTCAAACAGCTAACGAACCAACACAAAGTGATGCTATTTATAGCCTTCATTTTTGTGCATATTGTAATGAGAACACATGAAAGGTTGTAGAAATTAACCTTGGACCACACGATCAGTCGGAGACTCGGCGTTCAAAAGAAAAGAATAAGTGAAAGTACATCTGAAGGCAAGTCATAAGGTTGCTCTTTTGAAACTCAAGACTGAAAGGAACTGGTTCATGAAGTTCAAGATGTGGTGCAGAAGATTTCACTGCAGACAGATTTCTCCAGGAGCCAAAAGGTGTTTTCATTATTAAGAACACATCCCAAACAAGAACTGAAGAAACTCCAACTGGATGTGATCCTTTTTCGTGAAGGATACAAGAAGCAGATGCAGGTTTCAAGTCACATCACTTAGAAACTCGTATCTTGGAGCTCAAAAAGTCCAGGGATAAACATGAGAAGTGGTGCAGCGTTAGGTCACTGCAGAGATATTTAAAAACAAAGAAATAGTGAAAGGTTCCTCAGTTTGTGAGAAAGGACTGGGAGAGAAAAAGGGCTGCAAGCAAGGGCAGGGCAGAGATTAAGAGTATTCCAAGTGCTACACAAAATACCAAAATTGACTTTGCATCATTTTTAAAGAGGGGTGGTAACTGCGATCGTGAGGGCAAAAGCCCAGGCGTTAATCTGAACAAGAACATTGGCAGGGGGAGGATTAAAGAGCTTCATAAAAATTGTGAGGATTGGCTCATCTCAGTTTTAGAATCCAAAACAGATAGGCTCACGCACTGCAGGCCAAGAAACAGGATTTATAAACCTCTTGAAAGGCAACAATGGGAGATAATAAACATGTGGCACATTGGAGGGGGCACTGCAGGGGAGAAAGAGAAGGGAGAATGATTGCAGCCTCTCCAGGGCTGGTATTCTGACTCCAATATAAAGGTGCTTTGCAAGCAAAGAGGATTAATGTGACACAGAGAAAAAGGGGGAAGAGGGAATACTTCAAAATGCCAGACTAACCTCAAGGTTTTCAAAAAAAAAGTGATCATTTTAGACAAATCTACTATATCTTACTCACATGGTCTTCAGAGAGCACAAAGAGATTTACTGGTGAAGACAGATTGGCAGAGGAATGGGAAAACAGACAAAGGAGCTGGTTTAGCAGCAGACAGCCCCAGGTGATGCTGAATAAGAAAATACCAGCTTGGAAACCAAAGACATGCCTCAAGAATCAGCCTGGGGAACATCTGATTTTGTTAGGAATGACCTCAGCACAAATACTGCACCCACAGAACTGGAGGCAGTTCCAAAACAGCAGAGGCACAAAGCTCCAAGTCACAGAGACTGAGGAGGGTTTTGAAATACAGGCAGTGATGCACCAGCAAGAGGAACACCAAGGAGTTCTGGAAGTAACTAAGGTGAATTGGCCACCATAGAAACAAGTAAGTGGAGGTGACTCTGTCACACGTTTGAGGCAGCAGCAAGAAAACCCTCCAGCCAGATCTGCCCTGGAGCACAGCAGAGAATTTTAGCCAGGATTGAGATGTATCCACACTGAGGACAACAACAGTTGTTATTCAAGAAGCTACTTGAGAAAACTTGGGCCATTTAGCACCACAAAACCACAGGTGAGGGTCACAACCCCATTTTACAGAATGCAGCAAGAGAGGTAAACCACTGAAAATAAGAAGTGGGAAGAAAAGCAGAAGGAAAATAAAGGAACAGAAACTCAAATAAGCATGTAAACTGTCATGAATGTTTAGTCTGAGAATCAAAAGAAGGTTCCTAATTGCACAGCTAGATCTGTCATCTTCAGTAAAGGCCTAATAAACTGGAGGAGAGAAGAAGAGATGTAAGAAAAGATGTAAATGTTTTTAGGCTAGACTAAGTTCACAAAAGGGATTATGAGCTACTGCTTGGGAAAGCAAAGAGATAGGTGACCCAGGAAGTCTTTTCCAGCACTAAATTACCATGAGACTAACATAGCAAGTATATGCTGTCTACACAACCACAAAGAACAAAGGTTAAAAGTTTGCTTTAAACCCACACAGCTTTTGGAAACCGAAAAGCTGGCGCTCTTCCGCCAGGCTGAGGAAGTTTAGGAGCCTTGCTTTCAGAAAAAAAAAGAAGCAAAAGAAAAGAAGATACATATATTTTGAAGTAGTCTGAACTCAAACAAACCAGCATGTTCTTGCATTTGCATAAGGACAAGTTGTTCTGCCCGGTGTTCCTATAACGAGACACAGTGAGAGGCGTTCACTTAATTGTCACATAAGCACAAGTGTTTGAAATCAATCGTGCATTTCTTCTTAATAAGAGACACAGGAGAGTGAGCAATGCAAAATCTGAGCTTAAACTAATCTAATTACTTACTCCATAGTAAGACAAACCGCAACAATGAGTGCCAGCATTTCCACTTGCTCTAAGCTGACTGTGTGTTCTAAAGCCTCCTCTGACGAGCCACTCGCCAATTAAGTTTTACTTCAAAGTCGTGTTCCCAAACTAATTTATACAGCTGTTGCTAAAAAACCCAAGGATTTCTCCAAGCACCCTGCCAGCTGTAGGGAATCTGAAGTTGTCATTATCAAATAAAAACGTCAAAAGAACATTTCTGCCCTCAAGCCATTACAGCATTTCACTTAAACACCATCCGAAAGGAAGAATTTAGACCAAACAGTTGAGTGACAAGACAATAGCAAAGCAAGGAGAAGGCTCAGTCAGTGCTGAACAGTCAGCTAGAGGCAGGCCAGTCTGTTCATACCGTTTGACCTGGTGGAAGGTGGAGGATGTGGAATTCAGCGGTTCCCTGTGGAGGCCAGCTCTGCAGGAACTCTTCATGGTAACTTCCTCTCCAGCTAAGGCACGCCGTCACAGCCAATCCATCCTGGGTCACACCCCAGGCTCCCCCATCAGCTCTCCTTGCCCCACACAGAGCTTCACTGTGTCTCTGCCACCTAAAAACTGAACAAACATAAGACAATCACATTCAAGTACAGCAGCAGCTGAAGCACCGATGATCCAAACACGGACTCTCCCACGAGACAAAAAATATATATACACATATGTGCATGCACAGATACAAAATATATACATTTATATATAAAAGAACTTAACATCATCATGCCGTTATTGCAGCTGGAGTTTCTGAACACCATCAAACACAAATTAACACAACAGCCTGTCTGCACACACCACATTTTTCCACCTTATATACACGGCTACAGCGCTACCTTGTTACCTCCCACGGAACACCTCCGTCTGCAGAGCTCCTCGTAAACAGGACACACGAGAGATCCTTCTGCTTGTTAGCACTGCACCGGGCTTTGGAGGGAAATAGCTGCTGGCAGTAAGATTTGAGGCTGCCAGGAGTTACGTTAGCGTTCTAATCAAAATAACGTGGTGGATTTCATACAGGACAGAAAACATGTCACCACGCAGCCTCCAAGTCCTGTGAAAACTGCCCTGTCTTTGCATCACATGCTGATAAGGCAGATTACACCAAAAACAACACTGCTCTGCAGTATCTCTTGTTCTCACTGCCTTCTACACCTTGTCCTTGGAGCAGATACTCTTACCGGCGCCTTAACGGACTCTGATGGTGAAAGAACAACAACCTTCGAGCTGGAACATTAAAGGGAAGAGTGACACAGCAGAAGAGCCCTGGAAAACCTCAAATGCTCCAGCCCGAGTTGCCAGCAGATTGTTTTAGAGACCGTTTGCTTCCTCTCTAGAGGACCACGCTCAATGATGCCGTAATAAAGGAATGCCATTTGAGGATGCTAAACATAGAGCTGTGTCCCCAGGGGATCTGTGATTTAGTGCAGCAGGTTGTTCTCTCCTTTTCAGCAGCTTTGCCCAGCGTTCCTGCTGCTGCCCTACTCCTGCTTTTGCAGAGATGGAGCCTCTCACATCAACCCCCTCCCAACACCTCCCACACAGAAGAGCCTCAGCCTACACACCAACCAGTGCTTGACCAGTGTGGTTACAACTCAGTGCTCCCACTAAACACTCCTGGCCTGGAAAAGCTGCTCTTGGTAGCCACACTTGCTGAGAAAGCCACGAAGGATGAATTTTCCAGGCAGGAAAAAACAGAAGCTGGTTTAGACCCATCTTACTTGACTTTCTGCTACGGCAATTCCACGATTCGTCTACTGATGGTGATGGAGAGGTTAATCATTTGCCTACATTTGAGTAGCAGGAGCCTAAAATAATATATAAAATATTATATAAACACATTCCAGTCCTCATGGAGAAATCTCTGCTGAGTTCTACACAAGGCTAAGAAACGTGTCGGGTGGAGAAGATGGAGGCATTGCACTAGCAGAGCAGGGGGATGAGAGCATGTCCTCAGCTCCGGGAATTCAGGAACACCAGGAGTCAGGTTGCCATGATTAGCAGAAATTGAAGCTTTGTAGTTAAACACCACTTTCATCAGACTACCCAGGGTCTGTAACAAGGACCTACCCCTACGAGCAAAACCTAGGCACAAAAATCAGCTGTTTCTGATGTTTTGTGGGCTGTAAAATACGTTTTCACAAACAGTAATTCACAGAGGGGGAAAAAAAAGCATGTGCCTGGTGCTTTGGGAAAATCAAAGTTAAACACAAAATCGTTACTTTCCCATGAACCATCAGTAAGAGGCACTGAAATCCTGACTTTTCTCCAAGCTTTTGTCTGGCTTTCCTTCTGGCTTTACTGACACTAGCATTTCAGACTCAGCAGGAGCTGTATCACAAAAAACATGATTATATCCACACCCAAATAAACGCAACCACACCATTTCAAGAATGCCACTCACTTTTTCAAGAGCTAGAACTCCCTCCCATGTATCCCTGGTTAGAAACACCATATGTTTTGTGCTAGTCCTACTCCTTTGGGGATCAATTGAGAAGTAAAAGATAAAAGTCAGACAAAAAACTGAAACCCAAAGGTATCTTGTTTGACGTGAAGAGCTCGAGAAGCAAAACCATGAAAAGAAGGGATTCAGGTCAGGAGCAGCCACAACCCTGATCCAAGCACAGGAATCATACAGTGGGATGTCATGTGTTTAGGAAGGGACCAGCACCTACCAGAGGGAGGCAAAAGCTGGCAAAATAGACACAGCCAACTTCAGATGGGCACTGCAGCACAGCTCCATACAAAGCATGCTTTTTCCCCTCCTCTATAGCTGCTGGGCCATAGAAAAGAGCTGAAATAGACTATTAATGCCAGCAAGCCCCTGACAAATTCCTACTGTGTGAGGAGTAAAAAGCTGTGCTTGTGAATTAAAAAAAAAAAAAAAAAAAAGGAAAAAAAGAAGGAAAATAAAAAAAAAAAAATCAGCATCCAAGCTAGCAAAGATACTTACTGCCTTTTAATTACCACTGTTTCTGTACCAAGGCTGATCTTTAGCAGTAGGTGCTTCAGCCGATTTGCTAGTTTTGCACAGAGAAAGACTGAAATACAGATGCACAGAGAAACAAAACAGGAGAGGAAGTTAAAAACATAATGGTGTTGTTCTCCCTTTCTGAAGCCACCCCCAAACATATGCCTTCGTGCACAAGATGTGGGAAGGACTCGGATTTTGGCAGCAGTAAAGCATCACATCCTCCCGGCCACGGACGGCAGGTCGGTCCCACAGAATTCCCCGTCTTATCGTCAGGTTTGAATGCTGCTGCAGCTCGGGAAAACAAATGTATTAACTCAGCCAGAGTGGATGAAGGGGGGGGGGTCAAGGTCTCCTCATCTGTGCAGCACTAAAAAGCACTAAAGCTTTTGATATTTTGAACTAAAGCTTCACCGCAAGAACAAGTGTGTTTTAGCTGTAGCAACAGTAACCCATCAACAAAGGAGTTCAAAGGGTGGGCACATCCTCTCAGAAAATTTACTTTCTAGAAAGGAGGCCGTGGCCTCGGGACTGGATCTGAGCAGCAATCACCCTGCTGGTAAAAACATGTGTGAGAACACATTTGACCACCCCACCTCCACACAAGGATGCTCCACAGGGACATGGCACCGGACGAGCTGGGCAAAGAGCAGCAGCACAGCCAGGATGCAGGAGAAAGCAGCAGCAAGTGTTTCAGAGGGGAACTCAGAGGAGTTAATACCAAGAAACAGTCATTATGATGGTGGGGAAAAAAAAACAACACAGTGCTGAGGCCTTATTATAAAGATATAGAGTTTTGTTTTCTTGCAAGAACCGAGTTCCAAGTCCATTCCCCCACCACTGAGCTCAAGTTTAGGTTGTTACATGATACCTGCCTCTAAAACTATATTTCACCAGACAGGCAATTCTGCCATTTCCCAGCCTAGTCATCCCTCCCTCCCTCTCAAACACCTGCCAGGACACCTATAACAGCACCAGAACTTCCTAAGCAAGAAGCTTTGGCAGAAAGCTTTTCCTCATCCCATACTCCCACTGGGAACAATCCACAGCAGCTCCCAGACTAGGCTGCACAGCAAGATGATACACCAAATCCTCATAGTCAGCCTCTTAGACACCTATAGGAACACAACCCTTCCCTTTTAACCATCCTTCATGTAATATCTTCCTATTTAAAACACCTTAAAGAACTGCCTTTTGACACTAAAGGAGCCAACACAGACATAATTTGGCTTGTGTGCTCAGCTTCCCCACTGTTTGATGGTCAAAAAGGATAAATTTGCACAGATCTGATGTTATCTAATCTAAAAACAATAAGCCATAGGGGCTCCAGTTGGAATAAATGTAGGGGAGCTTCCTGTGTCCACTCACACACCAAAACCAACTGATGCCACTTCTTCTAGGCACCAGGAACCAGAGCTGGTAAAGCAAGACCCTGTTACCATTGCCTTGGCTCATTTAGCCACCAAATTTACTCCAGCCCTTCCCTCACTCCCATCCATACTCTGTACCCTGGATCACACCAGACAGAGCAGCTACTGAACTGAAATCTGAAGATTCCCATGTAAGGGGAATCAGTGGAGGTCACAAAGATGATCTGGGGTCTGGAGCATCTCTCTTATGAGGAAAGACTGCAAGAGCTGGTCCTGTTTAGTCTGGAGAAGACTGAGAAGGGATCTCATCAATGCACATAAATATCTCAAAGGTGGGTGCCAAGATGATGGTGCCAGACTCTTTTCATTGGTTCCCAGCAACAGGATGAGGAGCAATGACCATAAATTAAAACACAAAAAGTTCCACCTCAACATGAGGGAGAACTTCTTTACATTTAGGGTGGCAGAGCACTGGAACAGGCTGCCCAGGGAGGTCGTGGATTTTCCCTCTCTGGAGACATTCCTCTCTGGACACATTCCTGTGTAACCAGAGGTCCCTTCCAACCCTAATAATTCTGTGATTCTCTTCTAAATTTGAGCTTGGACATCCATGTCAGCAGGGAACACATGGATGCTCCAAAACACTGTGCAGCCCCATGGCTGTTCCAGTCATTGTAATTCCTGCCATGCTGAGGTCTCATCCCTCTTTTCCTCCCAGCTCATTCACACCTTTCCCTTTATCAGCACTGGTTTCCCACTTGATTTCTCACCTGAAGCAGCTCAGGGAGCTGAAAGTAGGAGAGAATTAACCCAGAAGTGGTCAGCTCCCTGACCCACTTACCCCCAAGACCTGGCAGGAACTCACAAAGCCCGGCAGGATGAAGTTCTCAGCAAGTCAGCCTGGATTCAGCCACCTCCAATCCACACCTGGAATCGTGCTGGAAAAGGTGCCTGCTACAAAGTGGTTTTTAGCTTCTTTCAAGGCAGTGGAAAGGAACACTTCTGAATGCACAGTGGGCAGAATGCAGAGTGTTTCGGAAGCGGGGAAATGAGCGTGTAGGGCTCCAAGGCAACATTTGACTCTCCACTGCTGTCAAGCAGCGCTACTTGCTGTACTGATAAGCATATGAAATGCTTATTCTAATGAAGCACTACAGGGAGAACCTGTCTTCCTTCCAAGATCATGTCAATGAAGAATGAAAGGCTTCACATTCGTAGCAATCCTG